CGCCACATGGAAGGGGGTGGCTGGGCCAGGCTGGGGTGTGGGGGACAGCCCCCTGCTTTTGTCCGCTTGTGCGCCTCGGCAGGGAGCTGCTGGGCTTCCCGAGAGCTGTGACACGGGTGTTGGTTACTCTTGCCGCAAATAAAGCTCGTCCTGCCAAACCCCCTCGTCTGTCACCTTATTCACAGTGGGGAAGGAGAAGAGGGTCCTCGCGCATCTTCGGGGCAGCCTCCTCCTCCTCCTCCTCCTGATGCCAGGTCCACAGCTCTCTGCCTCCATCCCCGTCATGGTGCAGAGCACTTCCAGCCCAGATCCCAGATAAGTTTCTTCCTAAAAGCTTAGGCACAGCAGAAGAAGGAAAGAAAAATAGAAGAAGAAAAAGAAAAAAAAGAAATAAATGTTTTTCTTTCTGGCTGTACACACCCCACCGTGCCACACAGCCCCATCTCCCGCCTCCAGGGAACCCCGTAGAAGTAGCTCTTCCACATTTTGGTATTAAGTTCCCATTTGATGCATCCGGCAGCCTAAACACGCTGGAAACAAGGGGTCTTCCTGGCCAAGACCACTTGGAGGGGTTGGGCTGAAGGCATTGACGTGAGCCAGCGCAGCGAGTGATCCTGGCACCGAGGGTCTGTCTCGTATTGTCCCCTCGGGGTGACGGTCACTTGGTTTCAAAGTCATCCCACGGCTCCATCTCAGCGGTCCTCCCCGAGCGCTCGGCCTCTCCCTCGGTCACGCTGGAGCCGTCTGTGCTCCTCACTGCGGGAGGAAGGCTGGATATAAAAAGCCCGTAGGCTCAAAAAGCCAAATTTGTTTCTCCTAGCTCCCAGCCAAGCCTTTCTGATAACCACAGCCCAGGGAGGGCTGTAATTTCTTGGATTTATATATAGAGCAGATGAGGCTGTGCCGGAGACGGGGACTATATAAAGGGGCTGCCCGGCCCCGCTCCCCCAGCCAGGCTGGTGGAGCAGGAGAGCCGCGGGGTGCCCCTCTCTGTGGCCATGGACACCTCCTACCCGCGGGAGGACTACCTGCCCGCGCCGTCCCACAAGCGGGAGCCATCTCCCACCGTCCTCGTCTCCCGGCCGCCCCGCGACCACCTCGTCTGGTCCATCTTCAACACCATCTACATGAACTTCTGCTGTCTCGGCTTCGTGGCCCTCGCCTTCTCCGTCAAGGTACGGGTGCCCCACGGGATGGGAGACCCAACGCTGGGGGGGTCACCTGGCAGCCCTCCCTGTGCTGATGCCAGGGGATGGACTTCCCAAGGAGACACAGAGCGTCTGAAATAGCTGCCTAGGCGGGCTGGGGTGGGGGATGAGAGCCCAACATGCTCAACAGGCTGGTGGCAGGTGGCACCGTTGCCTGGTGAAGCCCCCACACTTTTCTTGCACCTATTAAAGAGGCTGTGAGACCCCCTGGGTAACCACCGCCTCCTGCCGCCACCCAAGGACCGACTGCTTCCTCCTAGAAGGTGCTGGGTGGGGGCTCCACGATGCCCCTGGCCCCTGCAGCTGCCCTCTGGCAGCAACAGCTCCAGCTGGACTGGACCAGGCTGGAAAGACGGGGACAAGCAAGGGCTGGAGCCAGTAGGCTCTGAAAAGAGCAGGAGGGAAAACCCCAGCGGCAAAGACTGGAGGGGAGCCGGCCGGCAGCCTGGGGTGGGTGGACAGCCACGCTCCTGGCACCGCCCGGGGGGCTAAATTGCGAGCTGCGAGGGGTCAAAGCCGCGTGGGAAGGCTGGGAGGGCGCGCGGGAGGG